CCGAACCCTACCCCCGCCTCCCATCGATTCAGGAGAATCGATGGTTGAGGGGGGTAGGGTTCGGATGTCGCCACCTACCGGGCGCCCCCCTCAGCCCGCGGCGTGCTTCTCGGTCGGGGGCGCCCAAGATCATGAGCTGACAGTCTCCTCTTCCTCCTCCTCCTCCTTCTCCTCCTCCTCCTCCTTCTCCTTCTCCTCCTCCTCCTCCCCCTCCTCCTCCTTCCGGCCTCCTCCTACCCATCCCCATCTCCCTCCTCCCATCTCTGCCGCTGCCCTCCGCATGTCCTCGTCCCCGTCATCATCCTCATCCTCATTGTCATCCTCATTCTCCTCGTCCTCCTCCTTCTCCTCCTCCTCTTCCTCCCCCTCCTCCCCCTCCTACTGCTCCTCCTCCTCCTCTCCTTCTCGTCCTCCTCCTCCACCTCCTCTTCCTCCTCCTTCTCGCAGCGATATGGGGGGGTTTAGGCTCAGGGGGGGATGCATCGACCCGAGAGGCTTTCGGCCGTGTTGGGCCTCTGGGGGCCCTTGCTGGGCCCCAAGACCGTCAAGCTACGACTCAGGAAGGGGACGCGGGCTGGTATTCGGTCACCGCGTACTGAACAATTCAGGGCATCGCATGTCCGAGTATCGGCCCCCTATCGCCCATCGATTGCCGATAGGGGCTCGATGGCCCACCCCACCCAGGAGCCTGCGGTTTCGCTATCGGGGCCAGTCGCCGATCTGTCGACGATGTGCCACCGATTCAAAGTCAACGTTCCCCCCCCCCCCCCCCTCCCCCGCCCCCCCCCCACCCCGCCACCGCCCCCCCTTCTGAGCCTGCCCCCCCTATCGTCTCCCCTAATCCTCGGCTTCTCGGAGGAGGACCAGGTGTCGAGACAACGGCTTTCCTCTCTCGCGTTTTGCGTCCTCTCTGGGGTTTCTGGTGGCTTCGTCACCACGGGTGGACGCCCTGGAATGCGCGTCATGACGGGCACTGGGAGGAGTCTGAGGACAGTTTTTGAGTGGATTCGGCCGGGCTGGAGAGCGGCCGTTGTCTCAATTGGCCCTCCTCTGAGAGATGACTCGGGACTAGAGGGGGATGGATATCATCGCCTGGGGCAGTGACATCTCCCAGAGGTCGCGGCTCCTTCCTCTTTCGGTGCGCTCCCTGCCTCCCCCTTCGTCCGCGCATGTGCCTCGGGCCATGATGCGCCAACCCCCCTTTTCCGTGCCCCCGTCTTCGGCGAACCCGACATCGACGCCTCGCGTCGCCACGCTTCCGCCAAGAACATTGAAGACGGCCTCTGGCCAATCACCGCCGTCCCCAGATGCCTCCTTTGAGGATCGCGCCGCATCGCCGATGCATCGGCGATACGCATCGGCGATGCGGCTCGACCCTCCCACCCTTCCTGCTCGGACCCCATGTAGGAGGCCTCTATCCTGGCGCCGTGGCGAAGTCAAGACGGCAGTTGCGTGGCCGTTTTTGGCCTTCGGGGGCCGCTGCCAGGCCCCGGGGCCGCCAGAAAACGAAGCGGGACGAGGGGTCCGGACCTCTGGGGGGCCATGCTGTGTCGGCGGGGCTAGGACGGGGACGAATCGTTCCAGGTCGCTCGAGAACGCCTTGGCATCGCTCGGATGTGTGCCACTTCTCTCGGCACGGACCATCGAGGAGCATTCTTGTTCACTTTGCGAGAAACAGCACGCACGAAACCGAAAAATGCACGAGGAATGGCCGTCGGAGCGATGGCGAGAAGTTCTCAGAGCGTCTCTGAGCGCTCCGAGAAGGCCGCGGCAAGCGGCAAGGCGGGCGCACCGGACCCCTGGAAGCACCGGAAAGCCGCGGACGTTGAGCATCCCTCGGGCAGGTCACGGGGTGGGCGGCGGAGTCCCTCTCGCGCCCTCCTCTCCCTCGCCCTCCTCTCCCTCGCCCTCCTCTCCCTCGCCCTCTCCGTCCCCCGTCTCCGTCTCCGTCTCCGTTCCCCCCTCCCCCGTCCCCCGTCTCCGTCTCCGTCTCCGTCGTCGCCGCCCCCCTCCTCCCTCTCCGCCTCCGCCCCCCTCTCCCTCTCCCCTCCTCTTGCGACCAGAGCCAGGACTCAGCCGCGCGCGCGCTTTTTTGGGCCCGACCTCCGCCCCCGCCGCGCCGCGCCCGAGCTGTGCAGGAGGCGTGCGGCGCGTACGCCGACCATCGGTCGCCGGCCTGCTCTTCCAGACCTCCTTCCCTCCTCCTACTCCTCCTCCTCCGTCGCCTCCTCCTCCTCCTCCTCCTCCTCCTCCCCTCACCCCTCCTCCTCCTCCTCCCTCCTCCCCTCACCCCTTCTCCTCCTCCTCCTCCTCCTCCTCCTCTCCTCCTCCTTCTCCTCCTCTCACCCATCTGCCTCATCCCCCTCCTCCTCTTCTTGCTTCTCCTCCTCCACCTCCTCCTCCTCATCCTCCTCCATCTCCTCCTCTTCCTGTCTGGAGGACAGAACTGATTACGGAAAGATGAGTTCGAAGATTCTCAAAGCAGTTCCTATCCAGTCTGAACAGGACTCGCTGTCAGCGTCGCCGCGAACGTTATCCTGCTGAGACAGGAAGGCGGCTACGCAACAGCGACCGCTGTCGGTTTGGACAGGATTCGTACCAGGTTCCTGGTGCTTTCTCACCTGGAAGTTCCCTGACTCTGAAGCTTGAGACTTGCAGCAATTACGCGGGCGGAGGGGGGTCGTTTTCAGAATGGGGTCTCGCCCTACATCCGCGCAGTTTCGTTTTTACACGGCGGCGGCATCGTATCCGCGCACATTCGGTTTGAGAGCATGTAGCAGGAGGGTGGTGGTGTTTTTCCCCAATTCGGCTTGTCTAAGGGATTATTACTTGGTTAAAGGTTGGTGCCTCCAATTGTTACTTTGCCCGTTGCTCGGATGTTCCTCGGATTCCTCGGGTTCTCCGCCCCCGGTGCCTCCTATTTTCCCAATTCGGCTTGCCTAAAGGGTTCTTAAATGGCAAAGGTTGGTGCCTCCTAATGTTACGTTGCCCGTTGTCCGGAGGTTCCTCGGGTTCCTCGTGTTCCTCGGCTCCTCGGCTCCTCCTCCTCCTCCTCCTCCTCCTCCTCTCCCTCTCCCTGTGCCAGCGCCACCTGACGCGAAGGGCACCTCGTCACTTGGTGTCGACGAGCGGGCGTTGTGGACAGGCAGGCGGCCGTTTTCCTGCCGCGGTGGAGGGCTCCACCCCCTCGCACCATGGGATCCGCGCGCTGGTGAGGCTCACGTTTGCCCTCCTGGGCCTGCGCAGTTGGCCCGCAGTGGTAGGATCGGCTCAGCGGGGCCCGCAGAATCGGGGCCTGCATCGCCTCCAGGGGTGGGCGCCTCGTTCGCCCCAGCACCGCTGGAGGCGGTGCTCGCAGGTGGGCCTCGTCA